TCCTTCCTTCCTTCCTTCCTTCCTTCCTTCCTTCCTTCCTTCCTTCCTTCCTATACATCCAGATCACAGCTTGCCATCTCTTGATTTCACTCATTTTTAGAAGATATTTTCAGTGTGATTAAGCTATACTCTGGACATTAGGTCCAAGTCAGCATTCCTCACTATAGCTAAGCCACATATTTCTAGCTGTAATATTTTTCTCTCTATCCTTGATTTTGCTTCTGTCCTCTTCTTGTGTTGTCTCTTCTCTCCTAAACTGAAAGCAATGAAGTCAACACAGATAAAGATGTTTGGCATCTACCTGTGGGATTTCTCCGTATGGTTTCAGAGCAGCCTTCCTCAGTGTGTTCCTGATGTGCTGAAACTGCAACTCCCAGAATTCCTAGCCAGCAATTCTGGGAATGGGCAATCTTAATATATATGGTAGCCATCATATTGGAGAAGGTTGTTCAACAGTTTCTTGCTAATATTCTCAGCATGCCTAGAATTGAACCTCCCTTTCAGTGGCTGGACAGGAAGTGTCTGTTTTCAGCATTCCTTGTTTCCCCAACCTCAAACTGGCCTTCCTATTGTGGCCAGAGCAATCAATACAGAATAGGGCAACTTGTATAAGCTGGTATCACATGCAAAAGACTGATGTTTCCATGTTTATTTTGGAACGAGATCTGTTTCTCAAGAATGAGCGCTCCTTGATGCTGCTTCTGCTAATGTGTAATGTCCTAATCAGGATACCCACAGCCAGATGTGACCTGGTACAAAGATGATGAAGAAATGGATCGATACTGTGGCTTGCCAAAATATGAGATTTTCCGACATGGGAACCGACACACTCTGCAGTTGTACAAGTAAGGAAGGACGAGAGTGCCTATCTCTTGGGTGATACCTATTTAGCAGCTGTCACTGGTGTGAGTAGAGGAAAAGCCCATGTATTGTTCAGCTAAGCCCAGAATGATATCTTCCAAACGTCATCTGTCCAGACCTGTATCGTATCCTAAACACAAGGTCAAATGCTGTTACAAACAAGCAGATGATTCCAGTTATTCTAAGAAAGACTGCCTTGCAATCCATGGGGATTTAGCAGTCTAATTTCTTGTCTCCTGGCCAGGTTGGATTGGTGCCCTGGAAGGCTAAAATCATTTTTGTTCCATTCGCATACAGAGCTGGGGAGGACATTTTACTGATACTTTTGTTAGGAGCCTGGGTGAGAAAGAAGGATATTGCTTTGGCAGCAATTAAGACAGTTCTGGCAACAGTGTTACTGATAAAGAATACAAAAACTCTGCTGGATTTGACCCAAAGGTCCATGTCTCCAAGAGGTCCATGAACTGGTTTGGAGACCAATCAGATCTCTCATCCTTGTTCCCTGGGAAATTGATTTTCAGAGTTATACGGCCTCTCTAAATTTGATGTGGCCATCCTGACTAGTTGACATTGATGGATTCTGCCTGTGTGATTGTGCTTAAATTGTCCTTTCAGGCCATCTACATCAGCCTTCTCCAACCTATGCACCTTCTAAATGTGCGGCCTTTATAAGGCATTTATCTATTTGGGTTGATAAGGAGCCTGCGTAATGCCTAACCGAGGTTCTGCGTCAGATGCCTGGTGCTTCCTCGTCACTCCTACCCAAGACACAATGATCTTGGAGGGAAGTTGCCAGCAATTGATGGGGGTGTGGTGTGCCCAAAGTAGCTGAAAGCAGCCAGTATATCTGGGCAGTTCCCAACCCCTGCTGCATAGTCATTACAATCACTGCTGATATACCACAAATAGTGCCAATAGCAAGGTTTATGTCAGGAGAAGAACATCACTTGAACATCTGATTAGATAAATATGAAATTAGATGGCTTCTGCTAGGGGCTGGGGATGAGAAGAAGGCTGTTTCGCAAAAATAAATCCTTGGAAAATGGTTAGCTCTGAGTCTTCCAACTGCACTTTGGGGGATGTGTGGATGAACCCTTAGAAAGCATACTAGTTTGTCGTGGCTTTTTATTTTTTCCACCTCTGACCATTGTAACTGGAGAAAATAGGAGAGCTGATTGACCTTCGTGCAGTTGTCCTCCATGTATTGGAATTCATTCAGCTCCCATCATGCCATTCAGTATGGATGTTGGGAGTAGTAGTCCAGTGCATGTTGAGGTAACTTACTTTCTGGAGCCCAGCACAGTAATTCAGGACCTTGGACAAGCTACTCTCTTTCCACCTGAGTCCATCCATTTAAAATTCATGAGATAATACAACTGACATCCCTTATGGCAGCTTTTCACAATCTAGTGCTCTAGAGATATGTGGAACTTTGCTCACAGTATTCCCTATCAAATTCCAGAATCTTCCAACTATGGCCATCCTGATTGGGAGATTCTGGGAACTGAACCCCAATATAGCTGGAGAGCATCAAGATGAGAAAGGCTGTTCATTATTCATAACAAATTCATCTCTCTCTCTCTGTCCAGAGTTGCTTCACAGTGGTGCTTCTCTTTGCTCACAGGTGTCAAGAGGAAGATGCAGCCATTTACCAGGCTTCAGCAAGAAACAACAAGGGCATTGTGTCCTGTTCTGGTGTTTTGGAGGTTGGAACCATGACGGAGTACAAAATTCACCAACAGTGGTTTGCCAGACTCAAGAGGAATGCTGAAGCCAAGCTGTGCGAGATAGAGCAGAGCAGGAAGCGAGGGAAAGAGAACATGGAAATGGAACAGCTGAGACGAGTGAGCCCAGACAGATTCCAGAGGAAGCGACGGTTGACGGGGGATTTGGGGATGCATTCGGGCACCTCTCTCTGGGACGAGGAGGAAGTGGCCAAGGTGCGGATCCCAGATGGGAAGGCCTGCTTTGGTGAAGATGAGAATGCCAAGAACAGAGAGGCCTCTCTGACTGCCACCTCCCTGTTCCCAAATGACTTCATAACAGGACATCTGGAAACAGAAGTGGCCACCACCAATGGGGACGCCACTCTTGAAAGTGGGGAAGAAAATGGGGAAAGAAACGACGATGGCTTTCTTCAATATATTTACGAGACGGTGGAAATTGTGACCAAAGAATTTGCAGCGAAGAAGAAAAAGAAAGAGGAAGATAGTGCAGCTGCACCAAGTGCAGGCCAGGATGTTTCCCACCAAGAGGATGATCTGCAACAGAGGAGAAACATCTCTGTGCAGAAAGATGCTGTGCCTGTTGTGTCATCCCAGAAAGTAGCATCTCCTACGGTCAACGGAAGGCCAGTGGAAGCCAAACCCCAAGAAAAGTCCAAGTCCCCACTGCATCCCTCCCCTTCCAAACCAGATAGACATTTTTCGCTAAAAGAAATATATGATGATGTTGGGGTAAAGCCTAAAGCTGAGAAGAAAGTGCCAGAAAGTAAGACAAGGTCTACGGAGAAGGCCCTTCCTGCAGGAAAACTTTCCAACGTGGAGGACACTCTTCCAGCGACTGTTCAAGCTTTGAAAAGGTCTAAACCAGAGAAAGTAAGAAATGAAACGCAGGCCAGGCAGAAAGCTGAGGGCTTTGAGACAAAGCATAGCAAAGTGGTAACCACTGGGACAGACAGGAAATTGAACACCAAGCGATTCCAGCACCCCAGCCGGGCTGCGGAGCCCACGACAGAGGCCCAGATGGGACATAGGGTGGGACATCCAAGCAGCAGGGCCTCGGAGCCAGGTCAAGCTGGGCCAACAGGAGTTGGGAGTCCACCTCCCTTTGCAGTGGAGAATGAAGGGGAACTCCTCATCCGTGAAACAGACTTGCTGGACTCTCCCCTCCCTGAAGCTGAGCCAGACCTGCAGCTCCAGAAGGCTGGGCATGTGGGTTTGCCCCTGCCTTTGCAGGAACCAAGGCAAGCCTTTCCCCCAGTAGCCTTGGAGGAGAAACTGTTGCCTGATCCAGGGCCTTCTGAGGTACTGTAAGTTCTATTTTTTTTTTTTTTTTTGGGGGAGGCTGACCTCATGCAAAATGCTTCCCAGTTAGCTCAACAGCAACTGCAGAAGTTCTGTTGGCTATTTATAGCAGGGACATGCAGGAGCTGGCAGACCAGGAAAAGATGAGGGTGGTCTTTTGGGGGGCCAGGACTAATCCCTGGCTTTAAGACACCAGAATGGGTGGCTGGCTTCCTTTTTCCTTCGGCAGCTGGCAACCAGATGGGTCAGATACATCCACACAGGGAGGGCCAAGCTCAGCTTTGGTTTATACGTGAGCCCGTGTGGAGTCAGGACTCAAAGCTGTTCTGACTCCAGGCCTCCTTCTCAACTGTCCTGTCCTCAGCTGTCTCCGACTCTCACCAGCCTGGTTCACCCAGCATCTATTCCCATCGCTTTGATGCCTGTTTTCCGTACAATTCGGCAGTAGGAAAGAAGGGTGGGTGCGTACGTGTGCCTTTCTCATTTGATGAAGTTTCCTAACATCGGGTTTCATGCGGCAGAGATTCATGCTCCTGACTATTTAGGCATCCAGAGCCGCCTGCCAAGGCGTGGGTGGTGTGTAGGTGGGCTCCTTTGGGACGTAGAAGGCTGAAGCTGGATGGCCAGCCCAAACGGCTGCAGAAGGAGGCTGTCTCATGTTTCTAGAAGATGCAGGACTGCCTTGCTGGGGAACTCCAGAGTTCTGCAGGGGGTTTGGCAGACCTCTGGAATGTGGACACAAGATGTTTGTCCTGAGTCAGATAATTGGCCCATCTAGACCAATTTCATTGTTCCAGGGCTGGGCGGATGTGTGACTTTGGGATGTGCTTCGTTTTCAGTTCTAGAACTGAGGCCCCAAGCATCTTTAGACCAAGGAAAGGAGGGGAGACAAGGGATGAAACCCCTTATTCTCCATCTTCCCTTTTTCTCATTTTTCCTTTAATTTTTTACACTTCTATTGTATTCAGAAATTCTAATAAAAATTGGTAATTAATCTAGTAAGCACACAGCCCTCCTCTTACACGGGAACAGTATGCTTTGATATACTGGTATGCGAGCAGACTCACCAGAGCTTCGGATCCTGTTGAGGGACCGTCCAGTTGACTTCCTTCTCCTTATCGGTCTCTTAGAACGGCTTTCAGCACCTGGGTGTGTCCTGGTGATTGGACTGCAGTCTCTTTGGAATTTGTCTGGCGTGTCACCATTTTAGGAGATGCAAAAGAGCTCCAGCCTTGGATGCAGAAGTGAAGCTAAGAATGGGAACAGGCATAACCATGGAAGCCTTGGTGGGGGAGGCTAATTCCAAGCTTAGGAGGGCTAAGGACCACTGTTCGTTGGGGAAGCCATGAACGCCCAACTGGTTGGTGATCCTTTAACTGTAAAATTGTTCAAGCAAGCAACAGATGTCCGCAGATGCAGGATATAGAATGAAGCCCTCCTGCAACCAGTGCTCTTTAAAGATCTGTTGAATACTGTTAAATGTTTGCAAGGAAGTAAGTTTGGCCTTTGCTTGTTCAAAGATGAAAATGAACCATGGGCAGGTTTAGAGCCATAGGAAAGACAAATGAAGGGCTCAAAGGGAAAACAACCTATAGGGCAGTGGCCCAGAAGGATGGTGGGTTTTACTCCAAAGGATTTATCTTTGGAGCTGAGAATGCAATAATGGAAATAAACTTCCTTTTTTTAAAGGGGGTGCTCTTAAATTCTGGATCAATTTTCTTCCAAATATGATAGTGTGCATCAAGTCGTGTAACTTGCTCGATAACATCACCATAGATGGAATGTCAAAACTCTCTCTCTTCCTGTGATCCCTGATGTGGTTGTTCCTGCTCCAGGTGACCTAGTGACTGCGTTCATGTAACACATTCATTCGGCTAGGCTAAAATGGAATTGGGTCGTTTGCAATTTAGTGTGTTGTGGGAACTGAACTGTTGTTTTGTGTGAACTAATTAAGCCATCTCGTGGTTTTATTTGGGCATAGCATGTAACATTGTGGTGTAGGGCTTAGCATATTGTGTGTGTCCAGCCGGTATGCAGCAACACAGGCAGCTTCAACCATGTTCAGCAAGGCAGAGGAGCAGCGGTTTACCCAAAGTTTTGCAGGTGCCTGATTCTGTTGTGATAGCAGTTTTCCAAAAAGGATTTATGCCAAACTGTTGAGGTTTGGAACTGTATACGGTAATTGAAAGCAATCAACAAACCCCCGTCCACCCTTCTCTTGTAGAGAAGGACCCCTGTTCCCTCTCTGTCACCTTATAAAAATAAGACTTATTTTCACACATTGTCCATCAAATCTACATCAGAGGTACCTATGGCAAAATAACTTTGCAGTAAAACCAGGCACAAGAAAGAATAAGGGTGATGAATGATGAGTAAGATGCCACAAACTGTTCTATTTTACACCAGTTGTTATTTCTCTCTCATTCTTTAACAGCTGAGTCTTTTTAAAAATATATATATATATGTACTGAGAACTGCAGAAATGTTAAAAAATAGGAAAAAAGCTATGAAAAGATACAAAAGGGAAAAGCAGCAAATGTCAAGAAAAGAGAAAGAAAAAGAAAAGTATCTAAAGAAGTGACTTTTTTACAGCAGGAACAAACATAATTATTACCATTTCCGCCCTCCCAAATTATATATCATGGTTCCCATCTTCCCATAAACAACCCTTTTTAATCAGTAAATCCCAAGATGATCAGTTCGTTTTTGTCCATTTTCAGCAAAAAATCCATAAAGCAGTGTTTCTCAACACTGGCTGGCTGGGGAATTCTGGGAGTTGAAGTCCACGCATCTTAAAGTGGCTAAGGTTGGGAAACACTGCCATTAAATGTTTTCAGTCTTTTATAAAAGTCCTTGTTGTTCCTTCCCTAATCAAACAAGTCAATTTAGCCATTTTTAACAGCTGAATCTTAAAACACAAAACGAAGGTCTGCCATGAAGGGGACCGTCCTTGTTACATTAAACTTTATGGGGCTCATTCCTGAGTAGATGCATAAAGGATTGCATGGACAACATTTGTGTAAAGAAATATGCTGCGGCCAGAGATGCCGAAAAGTTATCGGAGGCCTTTCGTCTGAAGAGAGAAGGGTTTTGTATTAATAGAGAAATTGCAGAGGAGGTGGAATGTTACACATTTTGGCAAGTTCCCAACTGATTCAGTTGTCAGATAACATTGCTGATTTGTGAGGGTGTTCTAACCTAGCACAGTAGCTCCTAACAGCTAAAGTGCAGTTGACAGTTACTCAGGTTGCAGTGATCCCTTACCTTTCACAGGGATTTGCACAATCCCAGTTAAAGGCTTGGCAGCTTTATTCATGCAATATGCTGAACTTAGTTTTAACCGGGGTTAGTTCTTCTGGGGCATAGCAGATGGAGCAAACCCAGCTGATCAGTTAGTTTACCATTCAATATCTCAGTGGTCCCCAGTTTAAGAACAAGTTCCGTTCCCAAGATCTGTCCTTAAGTCGAATTTGTACGTAAGCCGGAACAGTATTATTGTATAATACTGTATAAGTAGAGTTCCGTTCCCAAGATCTGTCCTTAAGTCGAATTTGTACGTAAGCCGGAACAGTATTATTGTATAATACTGTATAAGTAGCATTGTGTAATTAACTTGAACCATTGTGTATTTCACTCAAATCATTGTGTGTTTAACTCCAACCATTGTGTGTTTAACTCAAATCAATGTGTATTTAACTCAAATTTTGCTACAATAGGCTCCGTTCTTAACTATGGGTTGTCTGTAAACCAGGTGTTCTTAACCCGGGGACTACCTATATTGTGTAAACCAGAAAAAAGATTAATTCAGTGGTGTGTGTTTGAGTGTGCTGTGTGTAAGCCAAGCCTTCATGTGTGCTCCTGAGCCATGTGCTCAAAAGGGGCTTAGATGTCATGGGTTGCTTGTTCTTGAACTGTAGACCAGCTTAAGGGTTGTCAGCAAGGTTAATCTAGGTTCTTGGAACCAAATGTTAAAGAGGCAAGTGCTATTAAGGGGCTTTAAGAAAAGTAGACTTCCCCCTGCTGAAATTGGGGAGGGAAAACGTAATCTTCTGTTTCTGATGTAGAATGCAATTTTCTCTGCTCCTAATACCTGAATGTATCAAAATCCAAATTATTTCTGAGGTTGGCTTTCCCCCAAGTGCAATTAACATCTTAAGAATTAAAAGAAAAATGCATAGTGCTTCCAAGAACAGTTGGGGAGAAAGGAAAACAAAACAAAGATAAAAGCAAAAGTAAAAAGACTCTGCTATGATTCTCAATCCAGAGAGATCTCCAAAGGGAAGAGTGGGTTGGAGAGGGGAAACAAGTTTGCAAATGCAAGTTTTTCAAATGCAGAATTTAAAGTGAGAGGAGGGTTTGCTGGTCATGATTAATAGTTTTGAAATAATGACTGTGTATTCTTCGCAGGCATCAGAAAACTCACAGTCAAGCTTGTCTGTTGCCTGTGATTTGCAGTCTCCAAATTCCAGGCTTTGGGAAGAAGGAAAAGAGGAAACCACTTACTTTTCACCAAGGAAAAATATCCCTGGAGATTTAGGAATAAAATGGTCAGAGAAGAAAACTGGTTCCAGCCCAGAAATCCAAGACTCAGGTGTGGGGATGCTACACCTGGAAGATCACCAGCCAGCAATTTTCCAGAATTGTCCAGTGACTTCTTGGAATCTCTCAGCCATTTCTTCTGGTGTCCCACTACCAAATGGAATGGAGAATCTGCTTCAGAAGGAAGACATGGGAAAGTATTCTCCAGGTTTGAGCCAGGATGAAATCCAAAGAGGACTACCTCCTAATCATGAGAGTAAAAAGCCAATTACTCCTGCATTACCAGCCCAGGAAGCCCATTTTAAGGGTAGACCCATGGATAAATTGGACCAAGTTGCTCCTCGGACTGAAGGCATGAGAGAAGAAGAACAAGAAGAAACGGTTAAGTTATTGAGAGACAATATACCCAGTCCCAAAATGGATTTAGTGCCTGAGGGGAAGAGACCATCTGAAATAATAGGGAGACCACTGCTGCTCCCAGAAGTTGCTGTAGCAACCCCAGATCTTTCTCAAATTGTTTCAGAGGGTCCTCCTCCAGTTCCAACAGTGATGATACCTCCTGTGCTTCATGATTCCCAAGAACCAACTCTGCTTTCTCCAGTTAAAGAAGACCTTGCTGAGAGGAACCAATCTGCAGCCCATTTGCGAAAAGATGTTAAGAGAGAAACAGAAACTCAGCAACCAGCTAGGATGGTGGCTTCAGAACCAGACCAACAAGTCACCAGCACTGTTATCAAGGAGGTCTGTGTGCAGAAAGAATATGTGGTTCCTCCAAGGAGTAAAAAAGATAAGCAGGAGCCTATAACTTACACCAAGAAGACAGAGGTTAGAGATAAGGAAAAGGAAAAAATAGGTTCTGATATTCTTTTAATAGAGAATTCTCCTCATCCTGAGGCTGTAGTGGAGGAGAATCAACCACTGGAGAAAGAGCAGCACCAAGACCTTGTTTCTTCTTTGAAAAATTATTTGCTTTTGCTCTTAAAGATCACCACTGAGTCAGAGAAAAGCAAAGGCAGCCCAAAGCAAGAAGCCAAGATTGTGGAGGAGAAGACTCCACTAAGTGCTATTCCAAAACACCTGCCAGATACGGGCATTGCAGGATTAACTCCCAAGACCTCAAGGAAGATCTTTGAACAGGTTGAGACCAATCAGCTTTTCCAAAGTGCTGAAAACTTGCAGCTGACTCCCAAGACTTCTCGGAAACTCACAGGAATGATTAACCAAGAGCTGCTGGCTTGCCAAAAGAGCCTAAGCGTTGAACCAGAGGCACCTCCCTTGCCCTGCGTTCCCTCAATTGTGGTAGGCAGCATTGCAGGTGAACCAGCAGGTCTCCCGAATCTTCCCTCTTCTGAGATTGCCAGTGAGACCCCAGCAGCTCTACCAAGTGCCACACCCCAGGAGCTGGCATCTGGGGCCCGTCGTAAGATCTATCTACCCAAAGCCAAACCAGCTGATGAGATGGAAGGAGTGGCCCTTGAGGGTCAGGCATGGGCCAAGAGAGACAGTCCCAGTGTGTCTCCACAGCAGGGCCGTAGGAGCCAGGCTCTCTTGCAGACCCCAGCCCCAGGTTCTCCTCCTGTGGAGAAGCGCTCTCCAACCTTTGCCAGGAAGATGGCAACTCTGGAAGTTCCCAAGATGTATCAGGAGCTGGCAGAAGAAAGCAAGGAGGATGACAGCTCCCCATTGGCTCCAGAGAGTATAGAAGAAAGTGCAACCGAAGTCCCAGTGGGAGAATCTAGGAAAACAAATGATCCATTTAAAGGTATGTGTGAATGCCTCTTCCTAGGAGAGTCAGGGAGACCTTGATTGTTGAAGTTTTGAGAATGACTTCCCTTTGGGGGATGTAAATGGATGGAGGCTGAGCAGGGAAGGAAGAAATCTTGTAGCAGATCTGCCTCTTAAGTGATTTTTATTCACAGGTATTTCTGACTTAACAACCGTTCGTTTAACGAGGGTTCGAAGTTATGACAGCCTTGGAAAAAGTGCTTTATGATCTGTACTCACACTTACAACCATTGCAAACCATTGCATCATCCCCGTGGTCACATGATTGCGATTTGTTACCTTTTTTACAACATTATGACCTTTAACGAGGGTTCGAAGTTACAATGGCCTTGGAAAAAGTGCTTTATGACCTGTACTTGCATTTTTGACCGTCACAAACCATCACACCACTCCAGTGGTCATGTGATCATGATTTGTAACCTTTTTAACGACCTTTTTTACGATGTTAAGCGAATCACCATGGCCATTAAGTGAATCATGTCTTTAAGTGAATCATGTGGTTGTTAAGCAAATTCTGGTAAAAAAAAGTCCATTGGGGAAGCTGGATTTACTTAATGACCACGTGATTCACTAAATGACCACATGATTCGCTTAACAACAGCAGTGATTCGCTTAACGATCATTGTAAAAATGGTCGTAAAATTGGGTCTGGTCACGTGGTGACTCACTTAACGGTTAACCTGCTTAACAACCAATTTTATGGTACCTATTGTGGTTGTTAAGCGAGGACTACCTGTATGTATGTATTTCTTGCTTGCTTTCATTGTATCCAGCCCTTAGCCACTGCTTACTACCCTGAATATTAGATTCTTACAGAGTGTCTTATTAACTATATTTCTCAAAAGGGAAAAATGGGTAAAGGTTACAAGTCTAGGCAACTGGGTATATGTACTTTAGTCCCCCATTTATCACTAAATTTGTTACAGCAGGGTTTCCTTGATCTTGCCAGTTGTCAACTAACACAATGGGAAGGTGGTTACCCATTTTCCTGATTAATGTACAGATGTTCTGTACTTGCAATATTTTGGAAACCACCATTCTCTTTTCCAGGTCTATTACACATCTGAATCCTGCCTTTTCTCTGGGAATTCAGTGGAATGTCTCTGGGGGAGGGTCTCCCTCATGTTTATTCCAACCGTAAGGGGAATGAGAGTTAGGTTGGGCTGAGAGGAAATAAAGGCTCTGCACTTGAGTTAGGGCTTGAACTGTGGTTTCCCAGATCCCAGACAACCATGACTCACCTCCACTTGCCTTAGCCAGGAGGAATAGATATTGGAGAAACAGCACTCCAAGTAGACAGTTGTACCAGTAGCAGTGATGAAAGGTAGCAAACCAGGATGCTTTGAGAGGCTGGATCACTTTTCTTGAATTCTGGGAGTCTCGCTGAATAGCAGGGTAGATCATCCTTTCGGGCTGATGGACCCCTTTGAAATTTTGGAAGCATGTCTTGGACAACTTCACACCAAAGTGAGACACAAGAGAGGCTTGACAAAATGGCTGCCATTGTTGATGCAGCCAGTTGCAAAAGATGCATTTATTGGAAGAAATTAATCCAGGAGGATCCTTCAGAACTGTGGGTTGAACAAATGTATGGAAACCTATGTCAATATAGTTCTTGCCTTCTAGAATCCAAAATGTTCTTTTCAGAGCCAAGCAGACTGAGGATTTGCAGCTGTTTAATCCCAACATCATATTGGGGGATCAAGAATTGACTGCTCTTATTTGTCATCTTTTCTTAGCGCCACAAGTAGTCCGCAAGATCCGCGCAGAACAGTTCTCTGATGCTTCCGGGAACTTGAAGCTATGGTGTCAGTTCTTCAATATCTTGAGTGACTCCAAGCTAGTTTGGTACAAGGATGAAGTGCCCATAGCTGATGTCAAAAGAAGGTTAGTCTTGTGCAAACTTCTCCAGTGGGTAGCAGTAGAAGTGTGATGGTCCTAAAAAGGGTGTCATAATTTTTGCCCTTTCTTGCTTTTCCTGTCATGCCCAAGACTCTACCTTCAGTCCTTCCCCAACCAGCTAGATTCTAGATAGAGTGGATATCATCCCCCATAATTCCTTCAGGATGTGCTCTAGGTCTCATCTCTTCCAGCTCTGGAGATGAAGGACAGGCAGCCCTGGCCATTGTGCAGATGTCCCTGAAGGATTGCGGGGTCTATCAATGTACCATCCAGAATGAATATGGGACTGACAGTACTGACTTCCTGCTGAGCCCTCAAGGTGAGACTTAGTTGCTCAATAGATAGATGCTCCTCTGCTAGGTCTGTGCAGCAGAAGGGATAATACCTCTCATGGCCAGAATGCTAGACTTCCGTCTGCACCTGACTTAGTCTTGCTAGGCATGATAATGGCCTTAATGACTTCCAGATTTGTGGGCTTCAACTCTCAGAATCCCCCAACCAATATGGGCATGATTGAGAATCTGGGAACTGAACTCCACAATTTCTGAAGAATGCCCCATTGGGAAAAATACACTATACCATTGGCCCATTGCTCTCTGCTTACCTCATGCCTCAGTGCTTTTGCTGCTGTTCAGTAATATCCAGCTATTCCACAGGAAACCTGTTGCACACAGAAGTTATGAAAATAGAATGCCCAGAGGAGAGTTGTGTGTGCACAACTGGGAGGTCCCCACAAGGCAAGGAACTGCAACAGAAGTACAGAGAACTGTTGTTGAACATAGAGGTAGCCAGGAGACACAGTCTGTTGCAAAGCACCTCCCTTTTGAGGTTGTAATGGGTCAAAGAAGAAGGTGGGTTTGTATCTTCCTAAAGAGCAAGTCGAGGAATGGAGTTTGAATTCAACTCTATGAAGATCTCTATGCCCCTTTCCAATCTTCTTCTAAGTAAGGGAAGCTTCTTGCCAGAATACCATATAAATCTTTCCCCATCTTGCTCTTTTTCTTAGTGCTGTCTGGATTTATCTCCAAAGAAGAAATAGAAGGTAAAGTGCAACCAGGAAAAGGTATGGTGAGTCAATGCCCCTGGAGGTAACATGACCCCATCACGCATGTGAGCCCCCCATGCTCCTCACTGTGGGTGACATTCCAGTTGAAGAGAAGAGAGATGGCTGAGATGAACTTATTTCTCATACTGAGGCCAGAGTTCCAAGAATGGAAGCTATTATACTCAAGGATGTTTTGAGCAAAGTTCCATGCCTTCCTCCAATTTCACTAGCTGAGTCCATACACTGGCCAAGACTGTTTTTTGGCTCACTGTGATATGTGAATCCACCTGTTGTGTTTGCAGACAATGTTGTTTATGGGTTAGGAATTATGTGTGAAACAGGCCAAGATGGTGTGTCCAACAAATCATGGTTGAATCAAACCATGTATGATTTCTTCCCTACCTCAGCTGTTGCTGCAGCAATAGACGTGGCCCCAGATCACCACCTGGCTGTTTCTCCTCTTCCTGTCTCTACTGCTAGGAATTCATTAACTTTAAGGCACTTTTTCTATTCTTTTCAGCTGGAGAGGAGATTGAGATGACCCCCATGGTGTTTGCCAAAGGCCTAGCTGACTCTGGCTTTTGGGGGGATAAGCTGTTTGGCCGGATCATGGTGGAGGACCTGGAGGCAGGACAAGGATTTCTGCGCAAGGCCTGCCGTGCCCGGGCCATTTATGGACTTGAGCCGGTGTTTGAGTCTGGGCACACTGGTATTATTAAGGTCCACAACCTCATTGCATTTGGTGGACGCAGTGAGAACACACTGGTGGAGAGGAACTACGATATCACCATTCAGGTTGGTAGAAAGAGGCTTGGCACCCCTTGCTTGACTCCAATTCTGTAGTCCAGCAGATCTTTTGTGAGCTGAAGTTCAATCCTCAAGAATTAGAAAAGGCCCTTATCCGAGAGCAGGACCTTCCTTTCTTTCTTTCTTTCTTTCTTTCTTTCTTTCTTTCTTTCTTTCTTTCTTTC